CCCTAGACTACTGTAGTAGGGCTAGATAGACCAATTATATTTGATTTTGATTTCTTTGCGATTTGATTTACATTTTCCAATTGAAATAAAAATGGTACAGTACAATAGCGCTTAAATAGGCGATTAAAAGTATGTATAATATGTGGGTACAGGTGGGGGTGGTAGAGGGGGGAATGGGTAGATAGTTGGGCAGGCAGCAGGCTTGAGCTGCTTGAGAGCTCACTTGGATAGGTCTCAGTTCAGGTGAGCTGCCTTCAATGTACAGCCTGCCCCTCCTCACTCTCCCCACGCTATACTGTATGAAGTATAGCGCTGAAGTCGCCTAATTCTGCGATTTCAGCTGATATATATTTCATATAGCATACAAACACATATTTTAATCAAGATAAATTCAAAATGTAATATATTTGGTGAATTTAGAGCCTGTACTGTATAAGGCCCATTGGGGAAGTAGTAGATCTGGTATAGTAGGTGATAATAAACATGTATATGACAAAAGGGAGTGTACCTGAAGCAAGGAGAGGTCAGGGGATGGGTAGGAATGATGGGGAGGAGGAGATGGGGAGGTGTACAAGGTATAGCAAGACAACGGATAGCGGCGGAAGCCCGGCGACCACACAGGCATATAGCCAGGGTCCTAAAGCAGGCTTCCACCGCGGGGATCAGCGCGGGGAGGCCAAATGCGGCGGGCGCATTTTTGGGAAGGTGGGGAGGAAGAGGTGAGAGTATATGCGCCGGCGCTCGAGAACGCGGCCGCGTGGGGCTAAGACGAGTACACCATCGTGTTTGGCGTACTTTAGAACCCCTATACCGAGCCCTACAGGCCGGGAGGGGGGGAAGCGCGCGAACGGTGGGGGGAGGAGGGAAAGGAGGGGGAGGGGAACGGTGCGAAGGCCGTAGCGCAAGAACGGCTACAGCTATCGCTCTGCTGAGTAGCTAGGTCGATTTGTACGACCTGAAAGCAGGTCTGGTTAAGTGGCGCTCGCGATCCTACCGTGGGAACGCAGAGCGCCAGCTGGCAGCCCTGCTGCCTGCCAGCCACCACTCATCTAGCCCATAGCTCAGGTACATACGCACCGTCGGGGATAACAAAACCAAGTGGTGATGACTGTTGCTGATATGATGTCATGGCATACTCTGGCCATCTAATCTACTGAGTAATGATCTCATGAGATCTCATGAGATCTGTCGAGGGCACATCTCTCGCTCACAGCACTGTCACATCCCTCACCAACCTTAGGTCACTCCAGATAGGCTTTTGGGAGTGTCACCGTGACAGAGATCATATGAGAATAGGCGAGAATGTATGAGGAGAGATCTCACCCATATGACAGAGATTTCATGAGGCCTCATGAGATCTCACGATTTTCTCAGAGATGATAGGAGATATCGGGAGATCTCCCGGTATATTGTGATATTCTCCCTCATGATAGCCCCCAAGAGCTCATGAGACTGAATGATACATTAAGAGATCTGTTGAGAATGGCCGATAGCTCATGAGTTATCCTGAGATGTACAGAGACTTTCGGAGATTTCACGAGATTACGAGAGATGTCGCGAGATGCCGCGAGATGCCACGAGTTCTCATGGGTTTGCGTGAGAGTCAATCTCTCCTAGATGTTTTTGTCCAAAGGAACCCTCCATAAGGGACATCACGAAGGTTCTGCCCAGTGTTGCCGTCGTAAGCATCCGCTGAACCTCTGCTCCGAGATACAGCTGCCGACTATTCAGACAGGAGGAGGATTCTCCATTTCAAGAACAGGTGAGTGCTGTGCCAGGAGCTGACTCGTGGCGTCTGACCCGTTGTCCACGTCGTCTAAGTTCTCCTTCCATAGGCGCGCCGAATCCGCGAGCTTCAAGGAGAGCTCGCCCAGTACCGCGAGATGGTTGCTACTGGCAACGACGAATCAACGCTTGAGTCCGATAGCGACAACGAGTCGACGACCACTGACATGGACGAGTCTTCCGTCTGTATAGCAAGTCAATCTGAGCGCATGGTCTACTTGATGCATATTTTCAACTTCAGCCAGAAGCGGTAGTTGAAAGGCTAGCTGCGCACCTCAACCCCGACCCGTCGTTACCATTCACTCCAGTAGAGACTGTACGCATCTGTGAGAACCACAAGGGGCCCAAGATTGGATCCGTCCGAGCAACGTCCTGCCATCCCAAGTTGCTGATACTCTTTGCTTCAGATCAAGGCCTTCAGAAAGTACGTCTCAGATTGCTGGGTGTCCTCACTTATGTTGAGTTTGCTCTGCACAGGTGGGCGACGCCGCAAAGGCTCTGGATCGTCGACGACAGCGGTATCTGCCGGCGTAACTGGGACACCGGCCGCGCCATCATCGTGGCTCCCACTCGAGTTCCTACAGCCGAAGGCGAGATCGGCCCATATAAGCTCGATACTGCGCCGTTCGTCGTAGGTGATACCCGAGAGCTCGTTGATTGGAGGTTCGGGAAGTGGGTGCGTTGTTCCGTCCGATGCTACTGCGTTGTGATGTTGACGCGCGTCTAATCGTAGGACTACCTGGGCACCTATATCATAACCTCAATCAATACTCTCAGCGTCGAAGACGCATCACGGATCAGACGCCCATACACCGTGAGGCAACACGTTGAGTGGAGTTCGCGTACACGGTACTGACAATCGACTGCCTCAGGCTAGTATGGCAAAGATTATCGCTCATTATGCAGTCCCGAAGGCACATCGCGCCCAGTTGTTGTCGATGCTCGAAGACGGCACCGCCCGCGTGAACGCTATAGCGGTGACAAGAACGGGTAGCAACGGGGAGCTCATCAAGTTTGGGCGAGGCAATCGTTGGGAACTGAAGAAGGAGAGCTTGAAGAAGACGGAGCAAGTTCATCGTCTTCTTGCAGTTGGAATGGGATCCCTGAAGATTGCGTCGAGAGTCGGTGTGACCAAGCGCAAGAAGGCGATGGTAGTGAAGAAGGAAGAGTCTGACTGGAACTAGACGTTGGCGCTTGCATCTCAATACTTCAGCCTATATCATGGATATCTTACATATGCATCCTAATACAACACGCAATCGCCGCTATTGCTCTCATCTCTGCCATGTCGACGATCCCCTACGGTGCACAGCGCACCCGTGCACCAAGCAGCACGCCATTCAATGTCCAACACGGAGGTTCAAAAGAGGTTGTAACTGAGCTATGACATTGCCCTCAGACGCGTGCGCCGTGGTCCTGTCGAAGGGGCGGAAGACGATGCATGACAAGCCTTGAGAAGGCAAGAGCCTGCCGATCTAAGTGATCTCTTCGCCGCTACTCCCGATCTTTACGTCGCGCGTCTCCGGTTTGTACAAATGTCATCTATTGATGGAGAGTGGGCCAAAGCGAGTGTGCTAGCTTGGTACTGGAGCAGATGAAGGTCAGAGCGAAGTCGCAACTCCTCCGTCCGGTCCGAAGAAGGGACTTGTCTGAGCACGTGTGGAGACGAGGTTCGCGGCATGCGGCATTCGCGAAGTACTCGACTTTGTCTCCCGCCCTCGCGTGCTTGTCCCTTTGTACTCTTGTGTCTCTCGGAATCTGTGCTTCATCTACCGCGGCCTGTATAGAGTACATCTACCTTGTGTATTTCTTCCCGTCTTCGGCCGCAGCTTTCAAGGCCGGCCCTCACGCGCACGGGAGTCACGACCGCTTTCCCTTTCTGTCCTTCGGTGCGTGTTTGCGAGCATCTAAACATCCAAGCATACTGATCTCCGCGAATAGAATTGTGTATTTTTATAAGTAGTCTGGATGCTCAGTAGGATGGTCGAGTACGTCCCAATCCCCTCCTGGTGGCTTCAAGCGCAGCCTGTGGCCCGCCGAAGCTGACTGGATATTCAGCGCGCCCTCCACGCCCGGACCCTCCCGGCAATGTTACAAGACCCCCTCCGTCCGCAAACGACGGTCTCGGGTCGGTCTGAGTAACGATTTCTCAGTCAAGCGACCCCGTTTGTCCGGTGGACCCATCGATGTTGCGGCGGAACCAGGCGTGAAGCATGTTGAAGACTTGACATCGGAGCCCAAGGTGTGTACATTCTCCACTATGTCTCAAGAGGGGATGCTATGGACTGCTATGGCTCCCATTCCGACCCGGCGCTCGGTGTCTTGTGATTGCGGATCAGCTACGTACGCCTAGACGCTGAAGGTGCATTATTGTGGGCTTTCGGGCTCTTCTGCTACCGGAATGGGTGATATGGAATCGGATATTCTGCGCAATGCTGACATGGTTTCTTGCAGGCCGACCGCTTCATTTCTTCGCGACCCGATACCATATTCCCCATGGACACCACCCCTCGAACAACACGCATTGCACGAGCCTTTGGTCTGATCGACGACCGCATATTGAACTACGGGGACCCTCCGTCAACTTCAGCAATAGAGGATGAAACGCTCTCCTCTATCCGTCGAAGTGCTTCTCAGCTCTTCAAATACACTACACCAGCTCATCCCTCTTCCGCCGCCTCCGTCCTCGGGAAGAGGAAACAGTTTATACTGGCTCTGGACGGGCCAGGAATACCATCTGATCCTTGGGCGCATCCTTTGGCTTGGTCGCCTCACAATCTCATCGCAGTCGCCTGCGGTGCCGATGTCTATCATCAAAACCTTGACACCCGCACAATCGAACATCTCGCGACGTTCCCTCGCGCAGAAGCGGGCCGTATACGAGCGTTATCTTTTGCTGGAGGAGAAGCGCCCGAGTTGCTAGGCCTCGGGACAGGCTCGGGCGGTGTCCATGTCTATGACGCCCAAGCGGGGAAGCGCCTGCGGGCTTGGCAGGATGATGCGAACTCGCAAGCCGTCGGGGCTCTCGCGTGGCGCGGGCGTCAACTTGCGGTCGGTCGTGCGGGAGGAGGAATGGCATGGCTGGACTCTCGAGCCGCAGTGCCCGCTCGCGTCTTCAAGGCGCACAAAGGCGATGTGCATGGTCTTACGTGGTCGGCGGACGAGCGCTTCCTTCTCAGCAGCGACTCGAAGGGCGGTGTTCACCTTTGGGACGCGCGCAATACATCCGCTCGTTTGGGTCGCGCCCGGCACGATGGCCCCGTCAAAGCACTTGCTTGGTGTCCTTGGAAACCCGACCTCTTCGCAAGCGCTGGCGCGGACGGAGACGGCATCATTCGCGTATGGAGTTCGTCTTCCTTCGGCGCCGATCCGCATGGGCAACGCGCTGTGCCAGATCCTCTGAAAGAGATCTCAACAGACAGCGATATCTTTGCGCTTATATGGTCGCCGCATTGCCGCGAACTCCTAAGCACGCATGGTCGTTCATGGGGAGATCCCGAGCCTGCACCGGTGCCCGGTTCAGGTACTGAGTCAATGGGTTACACGAATGCCCTCGTTGTACATTCTTACCCCACCGGTCGCCGTATCGTCAGCCTTACGGCGCATACTGGGCCTACAAGTCAGGCGTGTCTGTCACCGGACGGGACTTCGGTATTCACAATATGTGCTCGGGAGGAGGCGATGAAGATGTGGCGCGTTTGGAGTACGCCGGTTGATGGACCGCGGGAAGAACGCACCTTTGATCGCTTCACGATACGTTGAGGGGCTTGGGCGGGCTTGGGGTCTGCGACCCTCGGCTAAGTTTCTGGGGTTTGTGTCGCAGGGTTGATCTGTTGCTGATTCGTTGTTCGCTGTGCTCGGACTATCTGTGTATCGAGTATCTCGCTTTCGTCGTTGCTTTATATTTTGCTGATATGTGATGCTGAACGTTGACGATCCTCTGCCATGAATGTGGACCAGATGCCGTGCTTGACGGACATCTCGCCAATGATCCAATTGGAATGCCACGAGGCTATGAAACGGTGAACTGTATCAGGACTGTATACTCACTTTGCGCCGCAGCTACGTAAAACGAGGCGAAATGGGCGCGCGCGACGACCGTGGCAGAGGACGACCGACTACATATAAGCGAGGTCGCCGTGAGCGACCGTCGCTCTCGCTTGCACCGGTACCACCGCCGCCCTTCTGCGTACGATGGCCTCGACACGCCACGCTCGTTCTGACTCGCAAGACTCCGGCCCAGGGCTCGTTCGCGCCGCCTCACATGAGACGGACCCATTCGTCGCGCGCTCTACTTCTGTTTCATCGGCGACTCCGCAGGCTGGTCGTTGGTCTCATTCGCCGACCATAATACCCATCCCTGGCCAGAAAACTCGGGCGCAGAGGAGAAAGAAGGACAGGAAGAGGAAGGCGAAGAAGGAGAGCCAGAAGATGCAGACGATCAAGGAGGAGGACGTGAAGCCGGACGTCAAACCTGACAAGAATGGATTCGTGCGTCTCAATAAGGTTCGTGCCGTCGGGCCTGTCCGGTCTATGTCATGCACTGAATAGCTTTCTTCGTACGCCAGGGAGAGCCGGGATGGGAGATGGACCACGAACCTCGACCGGGATATGTTCGCGTTGCGCCAGTGTCTGACCCGGAGGACGAACTCAAGGTCGAATTAGCGGATGGCTCTTTCGACTGGGACGATATCAACGATAACCCAGAGATCGAGCTCTTCCTCATACGGATGCCGAGGACTGTATGTGGCGCCATCGAGCGGTCTCGTTCTTGATGTTGTGCTGACGCCTGCTTTCTTTCTGTGAAGATCCACCGTGATTGGATACCCAAGCTGAGGATCAAGGATCTCGCGCAAACATCTCCTACGGAGAACTATGAGGCCTTCCGCTCGACCAAATACGTCTATACTGCGTCGGTTGCTGACCTCTCGCGCCCAAAGGAGGATCTCGTCAGAGACCCGAACGTGCAAGGTCTTGAGATGCTGGACATGGAGGTTCTACTTCCCCGTAGGAGCGAGGGCGGAAAGTTATACATGGGTACGTTCGACTCGCTCTTTGCGTATGCGGATGTGACGCTTACGATGTTCTAGCGCCGCGGGGTGTGCAGCGCACTCTGACCCTCAAAGCGAACCCCCGCTTCGACAGACCTTCGACTCTACCCGAGTCGGACACGGACACGGAGTCGCAGCTGGACGACGAACCGCGCAGATATCCAGATGAGATGTTCAGGTCTCGCTTTCTGCCCATTGGAAGCGAGTCAGTGCCGCCCCTCCGCGCTCCCGAGCGTGTTCAACCGCAAGCGGCGTCTTCGCGTGAACTTCGCCCCAGGACGCGTAAGGACGCCGGGGAGGCGCCGGAAAACGCAGTCGCAGTCTCGACTGCGAGTGGGACAACGGTCAAAGGGAAGAGAGCCAGAGAAGACACGGAGTCTGCGCCCAAGGACGCGAAGGAGCCGCCCGCGAAGAAGAGGAAGTCAGTACGGTTCCAGAACGCGGCGTCCAAGTAGGGAGTCGTTCATCTTCAATAATTCTTGTTTTTGTCGCATCTTCTCTACTACGATACTCCCACGCTAATAGTAACGACCCGCTCCCTGTCTATAATAGCTCATTGTCATACTTCCACCTAGATCTAGATCATGGCGCTGTTTGCTTCATCGGCGCTCAAATAAACGGACGGAATTTCCGCTGGCGCCATGGCTCGGATAACCGGGCCGCGCGCCTATTCTAACCTCGCCGCGCGGTTGAAGCTCTGCTCTCACCACCATGTGTACAACTACCGCCGTTGAATCTTCTTTCAATGACGCATATGCTGGCGACGTCTCAAATCGTCGCGATACGCGAATTCAAGCGCCGCAACAAGGCAATCTGCGACGGTCTTTCTGTACCCCGTATCGTCTCAGGGCCATCCCAAGGCACCCTGGGCGTCTAATGGACTCAAGCCCGAGACTCGAGCGCTTGCTAGAAAAGCTACGCGACATTCGCGCAGAGCAGACGCGCCGTGATGGCTGTCTCTACGTATCGTGCAGATACTAGACCCTCGCAAGCTACTCCACTCAGACAAAGGAGCAACAGACCTCTCCGCGCCTCATCACGTTCCATCTGCCGTCAAAGCCTATATGATGTGTCTGCACGTTTGCTTTGTAGACTTCTCATGTTGCACAAGGACCCATCAGCGCAAATACAAGAGTGACCCGGACAAGAACAAGGGCGACAGAGTAGCTTTCTCATGCCATTGTTGCGCATATACATCTTAGCGGTGCAATGCTTTAGCTTCGTTGCGGCACCGGAGAATACTCTCTCTCGGGGACGTGGGTATATAAACGGGATGCCGGACGTCTCAGCCCGCGTCTGGTCCTACTCCCTCGTATTCCCTTATCTGACCGCTTCCACATCCCTTATACCTGCTGAGCAGATGTCTTACGATGGCCTGGATTCGATCACAAGAGGGAGCTTTACTCCGAGCTCTTCCTCAAGTGAGCCTCACTATCTTCCCCTTACGACCTATACTGAGTGATCAATGCAGCGGAGATATCGGCTCTCCGACGCATACGATCCATCACGAGGCTGCAGGATGGTGAGTGTCGTCGTACATTACACAAAATGATGAGGAGCTTCTCTAACCTTCCACAACAGAGCAGATCGCAGAGTGCACGCAAAGAAATCCCACTCCCGGCAAGATCTCTGAAAGGACGGCAACTCCTCATCGATCGAATCAATCATTACCTGGATCGTCATCGGACAGTCCAGCCCATTCACCGGAGTCAAACTTCGCGATGCACAAGGTGCGAGGCGAAGCACTAGTGTGCGCATCTCGTAGACTTATTATCATAGGCGCTGCGGAAACTTCATCTTGCAGCCTGGAAGCCAGACCATCAACACGCAGAGCGGATGTGGGCCATCTATCTTGAACATGCAGAAAAGGTCGGGCCTCGGGCCCGGGCCTGGAGAGCGGATGCGGACGGTGTTCTAACCTTCGTATGTCTCTGTTCATATCCCTGGAATCGACGATCTCACCGCGCGTCCTGCAGAGCGCGCTCTTCTCGGCGCTGGTGGCCTCCTTCATGATCGAAAGCTACAAGGCCTTCACCCCCGATTACAACGCCGCCTCTGCTCTCATGCTCTCTCAACTGGTCATTATGTTCAACGAAACGAGCTCCATTGCACCCTCACGTATACATCCCGACCAGGCTCGGGTCGTTTATAATTCGTCTCTTTCGGCGGCACTTGGTCAAGCCTCTCCGCGCGACTACGTGACCAACGCGCTTTGGATCTCTAGCCTTCTCGTCAGCGTCACTAGTGCTCTATGCGCCGTGATGATACAACAATGGACACGGCGGTTCGAGAACATGTGCGACGGGCATTTTCACAAAACGGGATTATCGTCCGAAAAGACCGCGCGTGTTCGCCTTCATGTTCTCGGTGCGGCGCGCGAGGACGAGTTCGCCAAGTACATTGAAACCATTCCGCGTTATCTGCATGCCTCTGTCTTTCTCTTCATCGTGGGCCTTCTCTTTTTCTTCGCCTCGTTCGACACCCTCATTGTCTGCATCTGCATTGGCTTTGCCATTCTGTATCTGTTCGACTGGTATGCCTCGATGACCCTATCGGTGTTGCGTAACCCGGCCACGCTCTTTCAAACACCTCTCACGACGGGCATGTGGCTCTTTGCAACCAAGTGTCAGGTGGCATCGGACACTCCGCGCGCTTTTGGCGACGTCTTCAAGCAAGCGTTCTTTTGGATGTTCTACATCCCAAACGACCTTCAACGATTGTGCTCGGACGGAGATGCGCGTACCGCACCTTCTCCGCGCAAGCATTGCCGTCTCACTCTCGACGATGCTGTCGTACAGACACTCAGCGAGAATGAAAGACTCGATATGCAGCTCGTCGCGGTAGAGCTTGTCTCTATCTTCCACCGAATATGCGTGCCCGCTCCAGATGATCTGGACGTATCTTATGCCTTCCTCGCCGGCCTCTGCCAACTCGTAGAGGATGATCACACTGTGGGAGACAGGATCCTCGTCAATATGCACGAGGGCACGCCTCATCATGGGTCCTGGGAGTCCTGGCTGCTGGCCGTTCTAAGCGCCTGCGAAATCGAGTCGCCCCTGCCTTCACAATACGCAGCACTTTGCCTCCGCCTCCACTACCACCGGCTTCGGCGAGACAGATCTTTGAATACTGTCCACCACACGCCAGCGGTCTCCATGCCCGACCCACCGGTACTTGCAACGTTGCAAGAGTTCGAGTATCATTCGCAGCGGCCGGTTGCTCTTGCAGCTCGGTGTTATCGCGCATGGCTAGCTGCAGGACTGGCTGTAGACTATGGCGATGCCATGACATCTGCGTCAGATGTACTGTGGCAGTACATCGGAGACATACCAAACCGGGTATCTGAGATGACCTTGGAAAGCGTGGGTCTCGCGACGTTGGCACATCCCAAGCATCGCTGTGTAGCAATCGCCCTCTCTCTCGAGGATGATTTCCACGCCTCTCTCGGCAATGTCGAAGAGACGGAGGCGCTCGCACGATGCATACGGCTTCTTCCTGACCAGGGGGCACGCGCGGTCGATCTGTACATCGGAACTGGCGCGCGCGTGGACGATGTGTCCACCCTCCTCGATGACCTGTGCGCACGCATCCCTCTGGCGAACGAGCTCCGTGACGCCCTACTTGCTCTGAAGCCGGTGGATCCTCAATCACCCTCTAAGAAGGCGGAGAGCGAGATTTCCACCCTTGCTGGGCTGACTCGGCAGGGCGGCTTCCCGATGCCGAAGCCATTGAACCCTGACTCCCCTGATGCAATACCTAGTACTTCACCTAGCCAGCTCTGGCGAAGGTTTGCCTTACGCCTTTTTCTCTTCAGCCGGCGTGGGACGTCCACATCAACGTCTGTGGAGCCTGCCGATGCCGAGAAACGCACGTCGGAATAGCTATTAGGTAGAGCTTCCCACGATTGTGCCACGAGGTCGTAGGTGTCGGCGATTGATGTTGCCCAGCTTCACTCTTTCATGTATACTTCTGACTTGTATACCGTATACCATCATTGTAAACGCACTTTATGACCCGCGCGGGGCACTATGCGAGTCAGGTCCAGATACATCAAGAGCATCTAATTCGGCAGACTCTGTTAGTTCCCACGCCTCAATTCAAGACGCGGATCGTTGGCACAACGTTTCTTGGATCCGACCTCTTCGACGACCCTCGAGAGCTCGAGAGCGACAGCTCCGGATCCCCTGACCTCCGCAGCCTCGGATGGGATCTCGTAAGCCGTATCGTCTGTAGCCGACGGTACGCAGAGTCTGGACGTCGACTCGCACAGCTCGCGGCGCGAGTCGGACAAGCGAACAACAGCCGTCAGCCGCCCGCCGCGACGGTGCGCAGGCAACTGCGAATGCGCGACCCCTTCACTGGGCTAGCAGAGATAGTATCCTCCACAAGAGACGGAGATCAACGAGACAATGCCGGCCGCTGGCTCGCGGCGCGTGCCTCCCATAACTGAACGAGCCGTAAGCCGCCCGCCGCGACGGTGCGCAGGTGTATATCGGCCACGAACGAGCCTACAGTCCCCTCTAATTCGGGACAGTAACAATGATGATAGATTGGCGAACTGGCTGCCGCTTAATTGCGCGCGCCGAAGTCAGGGAGCAATGTACTGGCGGCGATGTTGGGGCTGTTGCGCGCAACTTGACATGGTTGTGCCGGTCGGTGACCCAGGTATCTGGGTCGCTCGCAACGACATGGGTTCTGGGGGAAGGGGCTCGCGGTTGTCGCGTTCTCCCGTCAAGGACCGGTTGAACGTGCCCTCGCGCTCGCCACTCAGACGCGCGAAAACCAAGCGCGCCGGTGCTTTTGGCTGTTGATGAGGCCGGAGCACCGACGACTGAAAACCAGTTGCACCTCCGAGGGGAAGATATTTATCCTCGTGAGGAACGCGGCGGCGTATAAATGCTTCATCGTCGGGATGGCGGCGCGTCTGTCGCGTGCGCGTCCCATAGGGTTTGCTAGCCCCCTCCGTCCTGAGGATGGAGAATATTTTTTGGATCCTTTCATAGACCTTCGAGGTCTTCTGGGTGAAGAAGCTAGTTCCATATACTTTAATCTCAATATTCTGTAGTAGTAACAGGTGTCCGAAACACTTTAAATCCTGTATGTATTGTAGTCTGTTGTATAAGTGTATCTATATTGCCACAGCGTGCGGGCGTTCGAACCTCATCTGAAGTATCAAGTGAGCCTCTTCCCCACCAAGTACACGCGGCCTTGGATTGCAGCGACCGAGGCATAGCCGAATCGGAATGTCAACATGCACATGTGCCACGCGCAACGCGCCACGCCGAACAGCGCCGAACTTGTCTTCACACCATCATCATCCTTGTAGTGGGCTATTCGCGGGCAGGGCTGGTGCGTAAGTTATAGGAGCATTTCATGAGACCTCTACTGACTTCAGGTAGCGCGACGGAACGGGGTTGAGTGTAGCAGTGTAGCATGGCCGGCTTCGCCCAGGTCTCCGACCCTGTGGACAGTTTACGAGGGATTCTGAGCCAGTATCCGCTGGGTACCGGCCTGTGCAAGGAGCTCTTGCAGAATTCAGACGATGCTGGAGCGACGGAGCAGGTGTGGTCCTAGACTCGCTGTATATTCCCTGTCTGACCTTCGCGCAGACGTTCATTCTCGACTGCAGGACGCATGAGTCCGGCCAGGGCTTCGCGTCTGGCCCTGCATTCATCGCGCACAACAATGCCCTGGTTACAGAGTCGGACTGGGAGGGTCTGCAGAACATGCACAAGTCTGCCAAGACACGCAATGCAGCGTGCGTGACCCTTGCACGAACCGACCGTCCTGTGTTATTGACCAGCACCCCAGAACGACGGGAAAATATGGCATTGGATTCCGTTCATGCTTCCACCTCAGCGACACTCCCGAAATCCTTTCTGGCCGCGACATCGCTATCTTCGACCCGCTCAAGCGCGTTTTGAACACTACTGGGTCGAAGCGTGAATTCATTGGTGACCACACCATGTTCTCGCACCTGGCTACTTTCAGCTCTGTGTTCACATCGCACACCCCGCATCTTCACCCCTTCAATGCCACTGCTATACGGCTGCCTCTCAGGCGTATCGCTTTCCATGAGAACACCTTCGGTCCCGCCGTATCGAGTGAGGACGTTATTGAACTTCTCACAACATTCATACGGAACGATATGTCTACTGTTCTTCTGTTTTGCCGGAATTTATCGTCAATCGTCGTCCGCATCATTGCTCCTACGGAGGAAACAACAACGATTGCATCAGTCGTGAGGGAGCAGAAGTACGCGCCAGTCCGCGTCTACAATGCGTACCTTCAGGAAACCTCAATGGTTCTCCTTTCCCGAGAGCGCAACGTGCGCTCCGACTGGCTACGCCTCCTTTGTAAGGACAACCTCGACCATTTTGCTCGGAAACTTGCAGAGAAGCTAGGATATCTTGGGAAGAAGCACTGGAAGGACGTCAAAGGCCAGCTCGAAGATGAGAAGTTCGTCCCCGACGTGGGCATTGCCTTCCCATTGAACCCGTCGACGGAAGCCACCGGTCGGCTGTTCACCTTCTTGCCTCTGCCCATCGCAACCAATCTGCCTTTTCACGTCAACGCCACATTCGCTCTCACTTCGGACCGACAGTCGCTCGTGAATTCGGCTGAGCCTGGAGCAGCGCGCTCGGCCCATCGGTGAGCCCGGCTCGCTTCTATTCTACATGAATGCTCTTGCTCACCTCATGTATAGCTTCAAGGTTGAGTGGAACCGTCTTCTATTCTCTATCGCGATCCCCGCCGCGTGGTGCACACTCTTGCGAATCGGCGTTGATCGAGGCATCAGATTTGGCGACTTGTGGCCCCGTTCCGCCCCGGTAGATGAGGCCCAGGGCCAGCAAGGGTACTGGAACCACACCTCTGTCCATCTTGCCGAGCTGCTCTGGCACAGGTCCATACCAGTGTGGCCGTTGGTCGGAGAAGGCGCCCCAGTCACGCTCTCTAACGATACCTTCGTCACCTCGGAAGCGGAGGAGTCCTACACCACAGCTCTAACGGAAGTGGGCTTCAAGATCTGCCGGCTCCCCTATCACATCCTTATCATACTGAGTCTGGCGACTCTACCGTTGACGTTGCTGGAGCCAGAGGTAGTGCGCAAACGGTTGCTGGTGCGTAGTCTCCATGAATCGTCCCAACACTTTGACTGATTGTACTATACAGGCGCATGCGGAGCTGCTGTATACTGCACCCCTGACCGACGCTGGTCGTGCTCTCCGCAGCACTATACTGGAATACCTGCTGTCTTCCAGTCCGGTGAAGCACATCATCGGCCTGCCGCTGATACCGTTGAAGAGCGACGAGGACGTTTACTTCGCCTTGGAATTCTCGGACAAGGCTCAGGCTTACCTCTTCGACGACGCCCAGGCGGCTCTATTTGGTCCGGTGCTGCCCATTTACTACACAGTCCCGACACTCATCCCCGATGCACTTCGCGACAGCTATCTCGGATCCAAGTACAACCTTCGACGACTCAATCCCAAACTCACTGTTGACCTCACTGTAAGAGCGCTCAAGCGTCTCAAAGTCGAAGGAAAGGGAGAAGCTGTGCCCTGGGCTGTTCGACTCTGGCAATGGATCTCCGATGATGTCTCTGACTCGCAGCGTGCTTACGTCGAAGCTCTCGCCGAGCATCCAACGGTCCCGACGGCGAGCGGCGGTTGGTCTACGGTTGCAAAGGAGGGCGCATACTTCTTCACCGATGAGATACGTGGTGCAGATATTCGCGCCCTCCTTACGCGCGGAGGGCTCCCTCTTCTTCATCCCGATGTCCCACGCGCTCCGCTCGAAAGCAATGGCTTCACTCACTCTATACGCGATGGATCTTCGTGGATCACCAAAGACGTTCTGCAGCGCGCTATGGCCACTGCCCCCACAGAGAGCGAAATACAGGCCTTGATGGAACTACTTACGGATATCTTGTCAACGACGTCGTCAATCGAGTCGGAGTATCTCGGCTCACACCTGCGGAAACTGCCCATCTTTCCGGTTATTTCCGACGGTGTCCAGACCACGTCGACGGAAAGACAGTCTATACCAGGCGACGCAGCAGTCTACTTGATTCCCCTCGCCCTTGTACCACCAATTCCGAAGATACCCAACGCCTGCTTCGTACCCGAGACCCTGCCACACGCCGTCGCTCGATCCATTGGCGCCCAGATCGCACCCCTCACTCAGTTGGACGTACTGCGACTGACCCTCGATAACTTCTCGACGCAGACTACTACGCTGCAGGCTGCCGTTGTCCGGCACATGGCGAAGGAGAAGGAGTCCATCCTCCCAAGCACAATCAGGCGGCTCGCCGAGTGCAACTTCGTTCCAGTCGCGGGAGGGAATTCCACAGCTCGGCCATGCGCCGTGATTGACCCGCACTCCCCGCTCTGCGCACTTTTCCCTTCGGACGACGCCCGAATTCCCCAGCAATCCAGTCACATTCAGCGCAAAGTCATCAAGAGCCTCTCGAAGCTTGGTGTCCTCATTTCGCAATTCTCTATCGACATCGCCAACCATTGCATGAAGCGCATCGCCGGCGACCCGACCAATCCGGCGCATCTATCATGCGCGAGCAGCTTGATCGAGATGTTGGACGCCGCGGACGTGGACGCGAGACTGCTTGAGGTCGACGATTCGCAGAGCTGGATCCCGTGTGAAGATGGTGTCCTTCGTGCGCGGTGTGATTGTCGCGATGCCTCAGAAGACAGGCGCCACCATCAAGATCTCTTCGATCGCGTACTAGCGCTTTCGAGAGCCCGCGTCACGTCGCCAACACTACGCCTGACCTTGAACTGGCATAGGCCCATCCCGATATCTGTCCTCAAACGACAGTTCATGCTCTGCGTCAACGAGGATGGAGTGTCTACCAGTACTCTGCAAACTCTGATCGAGGAGCTAGTGCGACGTCGGGAGCTGGAGGAGATATCCGTGGACGATATGGGCGAGTTGCGAGACGCCACCACGGGAAGAAGATGGGTTCCGGTGGACGGGACGTTGCGAAGCGCGGCCGACGTTGTCTTCGAGCTGCCGGTCGCCCTCCCGCCATTCTGCCGCTTGGAGGCAAGTTCGGGGGCGGAAAGAAGGTTCCTTCTTGAGATGGGCTGCTCCGAGAGGTGAGCATCTTATGGTCTTATGGTTTACACATGATTTGACTGCTGAACTCCTGACGTAGGCCATCGACGCAAGCGGTACTGGATGCTTATCAGGAACTTCTGGATGGCACTGGTGTAGGCGTCGAAGTTGACGTGCAACGCGTCATCTCGCTCTTGAAGACCATCTGCCTCGATCCCCTCAGTGACGCACAGTTGGCACAACTTGCTATCCCTGCCGAGGATAACTGCATGTATCCCAGAGAGCGCGTCTACCACAACGACATGCCACCTCAGGACGAGACGCCTCGTTTACCCGAATCCGCGCACCTAGCGCACGAGCAGATTGATGTTGAGCTCGCGCGCCTCCTACGCCTCGCCCCGTTGTCGAGGCTGTACATCCGCGAGTTGTATGACGAGGAGGATATGGGAGAGCCTCTTGCATCCCGCGTCTCGAACGTCCTCGTCCAGTACCAGCGAGAGCAGATGCCAACGGAGTTCGTAGCGAACGCGATCGACTCGGGTGCAACTTCGGTCGCTTTCACCATCGACGAAGTCGACTTTTCGACCTCTGTTGAGCACTTGTTGCATCCAGGTCTCAAGGACTTTCAATCGGGAGGAAGCCTTGTTGTGTACAACAATTCGAAGTTCACCGGCGAGGACTGGATCGGCATCAAGCGCGTTGGGCAGGGAAGCAAGCGCGGTGCAGCTGGAACTATAGGCAAGTTCGGCTTGGGTGCGCTAGCTGCATACCACATCTCCGAAGTGAGTGTCGTTCCAAGCGACCCAAGTGCCTGTACTCACTGGACGCCTCAGGTCACGATGGTCATTTCTGGCGACTATTTCCTCGTTCTCGATCCATCGCGGCGATACCTTCGTAATGGACGGGCATCTCGTCAAATCAAACTTGAGGATATGCATAGGTCAGCGTGCCTCCAGTACGTCGGTCTTTGGTACTGAATGCTCCTATAGGTTCTATCAAGACCAACTCCGTCCTTTCTTTGGGCACCACGGGTTTGAGGAGGGGGACACGTTCTATGATGGGGTAAGCGGCTTTCATATGTAGAATACTCCATCGCGACCTAATCTTCACGTCTAGACCCTGTTCCGTCTGCCTTTGCGTACTCTTGCGCAAGCAGCCAGAAGCGAGCTCTGCAAGTCATCCTTCAGCACTACGGATTCCCAGCTCCTTCTCGACCGGTACTCTGAAAGTGGCAAGCTCGCTGCTCTCTTTGTGCAAGCGCTATACTCTCTTAGGGTGCTCCGGCGATCCACTTCGGCTAATGGTACCCAATCCTCCACCCCGGCCCTTCTCTGGTCGCTCGTCGTCGATCGGAGTGACACGACCGTGAAGACGCTCACTCCGCGGACTATACAGGCCGCATGCGTTCGCTTGCGGGTTATCTCTCCAGCAGAGGAAACGACAGAGGAATGGGAGACTTACTCGCAGTCTCTGCGCCTATCGCCTGCCGACCAGCGATTAGCAGATCGATATCGCCTCTCAGACACTATCTCGGTTGGCGTCGCTCTTCGCTCTGACATGCGCGAAACCGCTGTATCTCGACTTTTCTCCCATCTCCCGCTTCCCATCAGCACCTCCTTGCCCTTCCAAGTACACGCATCCTTCATCATGGCCGAAGACCGTCGTGCTATCCGACTGGATGAAACAGCGCTAGAAGACTCGGAGTCGACCTTCAACCAACGTCTCCTTTCGACCCACGTTCCAGCTTTGTATCTCGAGGCATTGCATCGGCTCTCCCCTACTCGATCTTTACTCGATGAGAACTTGTTGCCAGACAAGGACGCGATATCGGATGCTCCGTCCCGCCTAGTCGCCAGCGGACTGTACTCCACATTCGCAGAAGACGATCGACTCTTGTGTCAGTCAGTCACCGGTGATCGTATCACCCCGTCTTCTGCTGTCTTTGCGGACGAGACCATCCCGGAGGGGGTTCGCCGCGCGCTCGAACTCCTTGCACCACGCAACTACGTACTGGGACCCACTGCACTCAAGTTCACGGCTGTTCCTCGCGTGTGCGCAGGTTTTGTGCGAGATACCATCGCAAGTTCTACCCAGGTCTTCCAGGATCTCTTCGTCTCGAAAAGGGTCACGCTCGCCATGGTAGCCTCGCTGCTGCAGTACCTGGTGGATGACGATGCACAGGGAAAGCATCTTGTTGGCCTACCTCTGCTCCCCGTCGCAGATGGGAGCTTGACGACCTTCAACTCGGAGTCTCCAGCCGTCTTTACTCTGCCTCTTCCGTTACGCACCGCCCTAGTCGGTCAGGCTGCGCCGTGGCATGTGGTCTTTCCACCCGATCGCTTCTTGCATCCCGCAATACCAAGTTCCCTTCAGGACAGCCTTCTGAGTGCAAACGGTCAGATTCGGCTATTCGACGACATTGCTATCGCACAACTTGTACGCGCTCGCTTACCGGTGTCGCCGAAGTCCCCACTATCTGCCGAGGATGCTGCGTGGGTCCTCGCCTTCTGGGAATTGTATCCGACGATCCATCCATCGGACATTATCGACGAGAATCTCTTCGATATGCCTCTGGTGCCAGTGCGCGGGACTGGTTGGAACGCCGTGTCACTCGCCAGCTGCAATAGTGCGGACGTGTTCTTCAAATCGGCAAACTCCCCTTCGAGCGCTATCGAAGCCCTGTACAGGATGGGCGCATCAATCGTTGATAAACCCGGCCTTCCACACATCCTGAAGATGCACGAGCGCATCCAGGCGTCCACCTTTTCGTTGCATGCAGTGCTGGAATTCCTGAATCTGGGAGCGCGCGAGCGGTTCAATCTCCTCCTCGAACCTCAAAGAGCGGAGTTCCGACAATGGCTCACGACACAGCTGTGTCGTCTCACTACCCTTTCCCAACAAGACGTCGCTATTGCTCGGACTCTCCCACTGGTGCCTATTCGCGATTCCGCGGACTACGGAACACCAGATGAAATCGTCATGCTCCCCGACTTCATTGACTTGGCCGATGTTCTTCCGCTTACAGATGCATCATATCGCCTGGCAGACTACGATGAAGGCATCGTGCGAGCGTTCAAAATCGACACCGTTGATCCTTGGGAGTTGTGCAAAGAAATTGCATTGCAACAGGAAATTGGGCAGACCATTTCGGGTAGCGCGCTCACGGGTCTCAGAGGCTTTCTCGCTTCCGTCCTCGACACTTCGCGCGTAACAAGCCACGACCTTTCTCCACTTAAGCTCCCCAATGCTCATGGTGTCTATGTCGCTCAAGAAGACCTCTTTTCCCGGATGATACCCTTGTTCGTGGAGATACTCGCTGTGCCAGGTCGACGGCCCGAGGCATTCGTTCATCCTGATCTTTCCGGACTGGAGGGGCACATGCGCAAGTTGGCAGTGCAGACGGAGCTTGACTCGGAGTCGTTCGGGAAGTGCGTACAAGCCGTACACGACGCGACAGACGTGTTACAGGTCGAAAGCGGCCATTCCGCATACAACTTCTACCGCAACGAACTGTTCAAAGTAAGGCGTGTCGCTTGGACATTCTTTGACGATCGGTGCTTCATACCTCGAGAACTCGACAGGCGCAGGCTTCGTCCGGACTTCGATGGTTATGCAACGAACCTTCCTCCGGTCGTCGCACCGAGCCAGATACTGCTGGAGAAGTATGAGGACATCGCTTGGTCTCAGCGTGCTCGCGTCGCAGAACCGCCGACAGGACCGCTATTGCATGTGCGCCCTGAGCTTGGGATTCCCACTTTCGAGGATGTGGTATGTGGCCGCTTTAGCTACTCGGCGAGGGTTCTTTGCTTAACAGACTCGTATGCAGATCGCTCATATCCACGTCTTGTATCGAATCGGACAAGACATGCCTTACGACCTGGACGTGGAGAAGGACGCCCAAGCCTCATACGAGTACCTCGAGGCGAACCTGGATAGACTCCCGGGGGAGATCATACACACTCTTCGAACCACCGACGTATTCCTGAACACCGATGGCCGCGACACAGTTTGGCAATGGTGCTCGCCAGCTGTGCTGATCTTCAACGCGCCCGATGATGGACAGGAGTACAGGAGGGTCCGTCGCAGCTTGGCGCCATACACCAAGCTCCTCTTGCACCTCGGCGCGATGAACATCGCACCAGCGGAAACGCCCTCCATCCAGCGCGCTCGACCGGTAGACGCTCTGCGAATGCTGCGCGAGTCGTTCAATCAGAAGCGCCAGGAAGAGATCGCAATAGACGTCGTCTTCGTTGACGTGGATGGAGGCAGGCACCCCGCGCATCGGATATTCCTTGCCGGCTGCGCGGCCTGGTTCGACTTCGCGTTCTTCAAGTCAAATATGCGCGAGACGACTACGGACGGTGGGCCGCACGAGATGAGCTTGCAGTACTGCGGTGATGCGGTGGAACGTTGCCTCGGTATGTCTTGTGTTCATCGACCACTCATGGAAGCGCCACTGACGAACGTACTCTCAGACTACTTCTACACTGGAGAGTACGAGAAGGTCGAGCATAGAGACCTACAAGTGTTGTTTGACATGCTGGCGATCGTGGACTACTGGGACATCGACGACTTCAGGACGACGATCGAGCTTGATCTGTCCACGCACCTCTCGCCCACTGTGTACGAAGAGAGTACGTATCGTCTCATGCGCTGCTCAGTCGTATGTGCTGACCTGCCCTTCTAGTATATGATTACGCCAAGAAGTATCATGGCGATAAACTGGTCAAGATATGCGAAGAGTGGGAGAAGACGAACCAGACGGCGTTGAAGCGGGTGGGACTGGCTCGAGTGGAACCGGAGTCGTATGGATCAATATCGTAATGCTCTTTCTAATGCTTTCTGCGTTTGCTATCATGTATGCTGTTCATCTCTACGCGCATCTCGCACTGCTTTGTATATAGGAACTCGTATTGCTTTCTTCACCTGTCTCGTACACTTCCAGCGAGGAGCTCAGATAGATAGATTCAGGCAGCGGTAGGCTAGCTACACATACTACATATGCTACATACAAGACGCGAGAGACGCGCGTATTACTTCTGCATGCACCGATCGACAACGAGCGTGAGTGTGATAAAGGAATGTCGTGGCATGTCGCAATGAGCGGCGGGGTGGTACGATATAACGAGTGGACGTGGTGATACAGAATGCGCGACAGCGGAGACGAGCAGCGGAATCCTGACAAGAGATAACAAAGAAAAGAGGGAGAAAGGAAGGGGGAAGGGTGGAGGAAGGGGATAAATAGGTGGAAGTTCGAAAAGGGGGTCGTCTTCAGGAATCGTCTTCAGTAATCCTTCATGTTCTTCACATCGCCCATCCGGTCCTCAACCCGCCCTCACGCTCAGAGTACTGGGAGTACTGACTCGGCTGCTCAGAGTAATGGCTGTCCACGCTCCCCGCGTGCTGTCCTAATCGCGGCGACGCAAACGGGTCGGCGGTAGCGCCCAGCGTGGGCGTAGGCTGCGCCGCGAATGGATCGGACGCGTAGAACGAGTCGTGGTTTTCGACTGTCACCGCTGTTGGGCGCGGGCGGACGAAGACGGGGTCGGCGAAGGGATCTTCGGTCGGTGTGATCTGGGGAGTGCTTCGCGCGGGGGAAGGTTGGAGGGCCGGCGCCGACGGGATGGAGGCGGAGGGCCCGATCATCTCCCATGTAGGCTCAGGCGCTCGTTGGCGAGTGATGCTCGAGATGCTTCCGCTCGCAGCATGCCCAAAGCCGAACGCGCCGCCTCGACCGGTCTCAGCCATCTCTGGCGCCTGTATAGGCAGCGACGCGGTGCGGGTATGCGCATGCGCGTATCCGCTCGCGCTCGCTCCCGCGCGGCGTATACCGGAGATACCGGCGCCAATCAGCGCTTTGGCTCTGTCGCTGACGTTGCTCAGCACGCTCGCAGCACCGGAGCGTGCGCTCGACGGCGAGCCGGCGCGGTTGAACAGGCCTGTAGCGGAGCCCGGGGTGCCGCGGCCGAAGTCGGCTGAGGGTTGGGTACCATACGAGCGGGATTTGCCGTGACCGGAGAAGAGGTGCATGCGCCAGGCGGAGGTCTGGGAGCGGGCGCGGCGGCGAACGAGCAAGACGCCGCCTACGAGCAAGAGCAGGAGGACGCCGAGGGTGGTGGTTACACCTGCGACGAGGGGTTTGTTGACGCCCGTTGCCGAGAGTCTGGGAAGACTATGAGTATACGAGGGAAGTGAAGGGGGAGGTAAAAACGCACTGCGAGGCGTTCCCGGCTGAAGGTACACTCGTGCCCGAGCTCGCTGTCGAACTGGCGCCCGCAGCAGCGCTGGCACTGATACCCGCAGCGTTATGAACAATTGACGGGTTGGCCGACGCCGAGGATGTCGGCGAAGTGTCGGATAGGGCTTGGATGGAGAGCGGGGTAGCAGACTGGCTCGGCGAAGCCAGCGCAAGGGTGACCGGGGTGGTGGTTGTGGACGGCGCCAGCGAGGCCGTGGCAGCGGCAAATGACGTCGGAGCGTCTAAAGTGGAGGTTGACGAAGCCTGCACAAGCTTCTTGACCGAAGACGTACGCGTCTGTGAGCTAGACGTTGACGTTGATGTGGAAGCCCTTGAGCTGCTGGTACTGCTCCTTGATGAGTAAAGATATGGCTGGAAGCACATGGCGAAAGACTGACCTGGCCGTGCTGGCGCTTGAGCTCGTACTCGTAGCTGTCGATGCCGAGGTCAACGTTGATGACGCCTGTTGCAAACCAGCTTGCGTCCTCCCACTGCTCGTCGCGGAGGAGGTCGACGCTATTGACGACACATCGCTGGTCGTGGTAGCAGACGTCGTCGAGGAGCTCGTAGATGTTGACACCGAACTTGGGACGGTCGATGTTGATGCGGAGGAGGTTGATTCAGGTGCACTCGACGTCGAACTCGTCGAGGATGAGGCGCTGGACAGTGAGTCAGCACTGGGCGTAACAGTCATGGTCATAGGCGTTGAGAAGCAGGCGGGAACTGAACAAGCGCCCGTAGCAACGAACAAAGCACTTCGCGCGCCTCTTCCTCGGAGGGAAGAGGACAATGCACAGGCCGTCCCTTCTTTATGCAGCCCTGCCCATCCCATAACAGTCTCGATCGAGCGGCATGTCTACCGTTCTGGCGATCCTTCAATATGTGCCATCGCGCCCCACGCACTACTGCGACGATGCCATCCCTGACGGTTGATGGCAGAATCCATCACCGCTCGACACCCGACAATCCCTCTGAATGCGCATTCGAGTCCGTACACCCCAGACTGCATCCCGAGACGTAGAACCGACCAGCCCGTATACGCCCATCCTCCAGACTGGCATCGCCACGTTTCATCGCATGGAGATAGCGATGTCCACATGCTACCATCGTCGACACGGGTGCTTCGACCGCTACGAACAGCCCACAGCATGGGAGATGGTTGCTCACCTGATAAACGCGCCGTTCCGCTGGCTTGAACTTGACGCGGTCGATGCAGCGTCTGAGGCGGTCGAGGTCGGTGCTGCGGACGTTACGGTGGAAGCAGCTCTGCGCAGCATGTCAGTGTGCAGTTTGGACGGGATGCATGTGATGACTTACGAAGACGTTGAAGCTGAAGAAGAGTCCGTGGAAGATGACGAGGAAGAAGGAAGAGAAGAGGTAGAGACAGATCCAGCAGACGAAGAGGCGGAAGGCGTAGCAGACTCGGACGCAGATCCAGTAGAGGCAGATGCAGAGGTTGACGTAGGAGCTGGGGGACATGGAGTCAGTATATGTATTGAATATATCTATCGCAGCGCGCGCACCGGTGCTCGACTCAGACACGGCCCGCCTGAGGACGGGCATGGTTCCGAGTATTCCAAAAGAGAGATACTACACAGTAGCAGATCCAATCAGAGAAGACAAAAGAGTGCGCTGCCGGAGCGCGGCGCAATGGCCCGGTCAGAGCAGAGAAATATTGACGGGAAATGCGGGAAGGAGGAGAGCGGGTAGAGCGTCCCTGGCGGACGACGGCGAGGTGGGAGTGGCAGTCAGAAAGGGAAATCCCAAGGGCGGGGCAGTATACAAGGGCCATGATGCTACCATGTGCGCTCGAAGCGGCCGGTCAGGTCTCCATCACGACGACCGACTGTGCGATGGTGGGTCTTGTGTCTCCTCCGATCCTTCTCTCCACCCGAAACAAGCCCGAGGCATAGCCACTGCTGCATACATTCTTTGCTAAGGGTATGTCTCGTAGGAAGACGAACAACATTCCGTCGGACACGGCATGTTGTTGGTCGTCGAGAAGGCTCGGAGATGAGCACAATGAACGGGACAGGAACGATCACGGGTATCGCGGTCACGAGTGTTTCAGACGCGTCGCGTCGCGCGCTGGTTCGACTGCTTGACGCGCTGCCGGTCTTTATCCATTTTGGGCGCCATTTTTGTTCTCGGGTGGTTTTGGGTGTTTGAGTGTAATTAGATGAAGAGGGATGAGGCATGTGAGGGATGGCGCGGGTTCATCGATGGTATAGGGCCACACACAAGGGGAGATGGTGGTAAGATGACCCCAAAAGAGGTGTCGCTTGTTCACATACCCAACTTCCCGCATGTTCACCCCGAACTGCCGTACTGTTAGAACTATACTTGAGCTACCGTGGGATGTTTAAACGGGGAGCCGAAGAACGAGATTGCTCGATCTGACGCGCCGGGATTTGCCACGTTACATAATCCGCACGTACCCGGAAGCGGCGGCGGCCACGCGCGCTTTGCGGACATATCGACGCCATCGCATCTCACCGCCGACCACCGCCATCTCCAGGCCCAGATATCGTCTCAACACGACTCGCTCCTACTCACAAAAATGGATAACGGGTATAAAATACAGCTCTAGATGTACGGGGACCGTTAATTGACGAAAAATCGGCTTCGTTGTTGTTTCGCAGCGGGGTCTTAGGGGCACTGGCGCCGGCGATGGGCGAGGCGAGCACCACCAACCGGGCTCTCAAGCGCGAGCACTCCCCCGACATCGATCTCGGCTCCCTGGCCAAGCGCGCGCGGACCGCTGAAAGCGAGCCTGACGTCGGACCACCGAGTGCGCCGCCGCGTGCGCCCACACCCACGCTGCCCGCGCTGCACGAGCTCGAGAACGAGCGGCCCATCGCACCCCGTGATCTGCGCCGACGGCAGACAGCGCCCCTGCTCGACCTCAGCGTCCGCCTCGAGCAGCTCCCGTTCCACCATCCCCCGCAAATACCGACCGTACGTCGCCCCTTCATGGCTTTTTCTTCGGAATTTACACGGATTTTTCTCACTCCATCCCGTTCTGATCTGTTTAGCCCCGCGCCTCTCCCAGCCGCCCTCGTACCTTGACTCGCGCGCGCTCGAGGCAGAGTCTATCTTTCACCGGCTCCTTCCCGAGTTCTACGCCGACGACGCCGCTCACACATCTCACCTTCTTCGACCTGCCCCCGGCGCCGTCGGGCCGGAGCCTGACGCCGTCCGCCTTTTCGTACTCGTCTGACTTGGGACTGCATACGCCGCGCTCGCTCACGCCGTTCTCGACGTCATCTATACCGTCTACGTCTTCGCAGCCGACGTTCCCTGATACGTCGGCGAGGTATCATCTGCGGCCGTTGCCGCAGGCCAGCGCGATCCCGTTCGCGCCTACTCCGGCTGACGATCCTCTTGCGCATCCTCTGGCATGGACACAGACGGGCATGCTGGCCTTTGGACGCGGCGCACGCGTACATCTCAAACCACCAGCCGGCGAAACTATAACGCTCGCGAAGCTATCCGGTCTTCGTCTACTCTGCGCGGGCGATGACAGGTCGCCGGATACGCTCGCGCTCGCTTCGGCGTCGGGCACGATCCAGATCTGGGACGTGAAGGAGCGGAAGATGGTCAGGGCGTGGAAGACACGACCCGTTACTGCGCTCGGGTGGGCGAACGGCGTGTTGGCCGTTGGCGGCGAGAAGGGCACAATCAGACACTTTGATGCGCGCGCTCCGGTTGTCGCTTCGGGCGCATCTTCGTTGTCGAGCTCGTTGGGCTTGTCGACGGCTTCGGCGGTGGAGGGGAACGCGATTAAGAAGGTTACGAGGCATCAGGCGCGGATTGGAGTGTTGAGCTGGAATCATGATGGGAGGGTGTTGGCGAGTGGCGATGCGGGCGGTGTTATTCATGCTTGGGATAGTAGGATGGCGGGGAAGGGTCCGTTGGATGTTGGAGAGCAGATCATGCGGAATAGGAGGAAGATGGCGTGTGGTGGGCCTGTCAAGGTCGGTGCACGAGGGTTGCCTTGAGAATCGCAAGGGTATACTGACGATCCGGTACTCAACAGGCTTTGTCGTGGTGCCCTTGGTCCCTCAAGACTCTCGCATCTGGCGATGGGTCGGGAGTGGTACGGCTCTGGACGATCAATGAAGCGGCGCCCAAATCACCTGCGAACAACAGCCTTTCGCTTGGCGCGCAGGTAAGCCGCTCTCGCTCCTCCTTCCTCTCATGCAATCGCTAACGATGTCTGTGTACACTAGGTCACCTCTCTCGTATGGTCATCACAATGCAAAGAGCTCTTGAGCACCCACGGCGCCGCCGTCGCAACGCCTTCCGCAGATTCACCTTCGCCACCCTCCACACCGGATCTCTCCTCGCTTAACTTCAACTCCAACTCAGACTGGGCGCCCAACTCGCCGACATTCTCCGTCTCATCCTTCAGCTCGACCTACCCCGCTTCGACGTCATCGTCTGTATACAACTCGACTCTCGGTCTGAACGGCGGCGCGAACGGGAACAACTCGAATGTGGAGAAGGAGAGCTTGGAGGATAGTGTTGCGGTGCACTCATTTCCTGCGCTCGGCTTTGTGGCGAGCGCGCGGGTTGGGGCGAGTGTGAGGGGGAGCGCGTTGGCTCCGGGCGGTACGCGCGTTGCTATCAGTGTTCCGGATGAGAAGGTCAGTGCGAGTGTATGTCGTACGGTTTTGAAAGATGGCTGACGTTCAACTGTGCAGGTCATCAAGTTCTTCGATGTTTGGAGCAAGGCGCGCGTACGGGGAAGGGCGAGTATGACGGAGGGCCCGTGTGGCATCCGATAGCTTGACCCTGGTCCAGCGTCGTGTGTGGGCGATCACGCATATGAGAAGGAGAGGGGAATGCAGGGATGATCAGTGTACATAGTATGTGTACGGTTCGACGTTCTGGCGCCGAAAAGCGCCTTGGTCGATTTCGACTTCGTTCTTCTTGGACTGCACCCACTTGATGCTATTGTCGATGTTGTACCACTTACTTCACTAATGCAACCTGTTGCCCATTTGTACACCGTCAAAGAAGTCCGCACTCATGGAGAAACTGTATATTCACTAAGGATGCTAGGCACAATGCAATTCGCCGGTAGGTACGTTGCGAAAGGCTTGTATACATCAAAAGTATGTCACGGTGACCAACTGTTCCGCATGTTTCCATATCTCCCAGCCCGACATCCCTTTCCCCACGTACAGCTCCTTCACAGGCGCGCCCTTCATCTCCCGGATCTGCAGAGCTTCGAGGAACGAGGCTGCGAGCTCCTTGCGCAGCTCCTCCCTCTCTTCTGGGAATTGCAGGTTCTTGTACATGTGAGAGAAGGGATGAGGGTAGTCGATATCCTGGGGCTTATGCAACACAAGCGTCGACAACGTAGGAAATAGGGCGAAGTGAGGTGTGCCGTCTTCGTATTGCTCGACCTCGCAGAGAGCGTCGAAGAGCTCGCCAAGGTGCTCGGTGTACACTAGGCACAGGCGTTGTAAGGTTTTGGCCGTGCCGAAAGTGCTCGTCCAATCGTTCGCAGTGAGTTCATAGATCCGGTCCGGTGTGCAAACGATCGTTTGTAAGGTCGCCAACGACAGCAGAGGGATGAGAATCTCCAAGGGCCGATCATGGATTTTGTACGATAGGCGCAGATAGTGCCCACCAGGATGACGCCCTCCCAAGGGTGCTTCCCAGTCATCACAGTCATCCGGATAGAGTGGTTGCAATAGTAGGGAATGCAGGGGTCTTTCTCCGATCTCGAGGGCGACGGTGTCCTCGTGAAGATGCAGTTCACGAGCTGGGAGATCTTCGTCCATGGCGGTGAACAACTTCTTAGCAGAAGTCTCCAGGATATCGTCGCCCGTATGTCTGATGGGCGGGAAGACATTCAGCTCTCTAATGGCGGTCTGCGGCAAAGCGATCCTCCCCATGAAGGACATACACGACTCAATGGAGTGGATCGTATTGCATGTTACATCGAGATGCTCAAAGCAGTCCGGAAGCCGAATCGCCTCTGGGTCATGACCATCTTCGGGTGCAGGTGGGAAGATAGCGTGAAGGGTAAGCCTTTTGAGAGCGGGCATGGATGACAGCGCGGCCTGAAACTGTTCCTCAGAAGGTGTACAACTTTGAACATCCGGCTCATGCTCCCCCCATAGTCCAAGCTCCAACTCAACCACAGAGCGCGAAAACAGGGACGAGGTCCACGAGAACCTGACTTCTCTCAAGTATAGTTGATAGAGCTGAGGTGCGACTCGATGGAATGTGTCCCCGGGGATGACGGACCTCGGAGCTTTATACCTAGCGATATGGTCGTCGTCTTCTTCCTCGACCACGCCCGTGTCGCCAGTTATGCATATTGTGCGTAGTAGTGGCATTGGACTCTGGCGGAAAGTAGGTAACCAGGACTGCAGGTATTCATCGGGGACGTTGGAGATCTCGAGATGTGCTAGTCGTCGTAGAATCGGCCTATAGAGCCAGCTACTAGTTGGGATCGGAGCACTATAGCAGGGTCTGCCAAATTTGTGCACGGTGGTCGAACCGTCAATACGAAAAGTCAACGGCAGCCCGCGCGAACGGATGAGTATCGTCGGGATAAGTTCAGGATGCAGATCTAAGCAATCAAGACGAGACCATAAGGCCGACGTGCTAAGCGCCACCTGGGATGACGTGTCAATACCTATCATCGGACTGTAAGGCATGTAATACCGACCTCCCGCCAGTAGCTACATATATGGAGGATAGCCATCCAGCCTGAGGTGTATGTTGTCTCGAACTGCGGGCCGTCTGATTGGTAGTCAAGCGCTGTTGCTCCGGTAGGCTTCCATTGTGCTTGGAGCATGTCGAAAACGAGCGCAAGAGACTCGGGCGGAAGACGACAAGGGCCCGTGGTCTTATTGCGCAATTTCCTCGCGAGCGCGAGCTGCTCTTGTAGTATACGCAGCTCGCGGTCAGCAAGTGCTGTGCGATGTCTGGAGTCGGGATGTGAGGGAGCATTGGCAGCATACACCTCGAAACGGGACCGTATTGCACTCGACCACATTTCCCTGCGATCCAGTGAGACACGTGTTCGCTGGTAGAGGACTTGAGTACGCACCGCGCCGCCGAAGCGTGCTTATCCATAGTCGAGTCCATAGACGCTCTACGTGATTTGACCCACGCTCCGGTCACTCGATGGCGTACGACAGGGTTGTCAAGTTTCGAGATGATGGGTCGAACCCAGGTGATGACGCGCGCGCTCGCGCGCGGCTCGGGTTCGCAACAACGGACCGACCAACCTCACGCGCGTCGCGGGTTGATCGCGGGAGGCTATTCCCCAACCACCATCCCCCAATCGCGCGAGGAACGTATCTCCTCGTACTTATCTCATATCACGATGCCGTTGTGCCATGCGCCCGGGTCAATGTGCCAGAGGGGTCTTGTGGGTTTCGGAAGTGTTGGCGGCGGACCATTGCTCCGATCCCAGCGCAAGTCGCGAGCACAACTTGGCACTGCATGAAGTCCCCGAAGGAGGAAACAGCATCTCCTATGTCTTACGAGCGCGATATATACGCATTCACGCCCGAGGCTGAGGCTTGAGTGCGTAGATGTGAGCGTACATGGCATGGCAAGATACAAGCCGACGCGGGCGGGGTGACTCGCGGCATCAAAATGACCCAATCAAATCTCGACGGCGCAGGGCGCGCCTCACTCTCTTGCCTCCCACCACGATGATAGCACTCTTACCGTAATCGCAAGGCTCCTGTACCTTGTTCTATAGTTATTTACCAAGTACAAATAGTCAAATATAGTGGGCGAATCGACTCAGACGTTGTCTTGAAGACTTGTCGTCCTAAATAGGCAGTCAGACACGTTCGGTCACTTCTGTGACCGAACGTGTCGAAGGTTCATCTCGGGCCGGGCTCAGCAAGCGGGGCCCGCGAGTTCACCGCTCATTCAACACACGCACACGACAGCTGACGACGTGCCACTGCTAGCGCCTTTCGCCTCTCACTGTGCTTTGCTACTACGTGTGCGTGCGTTGCTAGCATGCGCCATTCTTCGCCACACTGACCCTGTTGTAGCTGTCCTCATGGCTTCTCCTGCGGTAGCACAACCTACAGAACGAGCGCGCAAGCGCCAGCGGACAGACGACGGCGACGCTCGACCTAGTACAGTTACGACCCCAGCTATGACTACTCCTCAGCGCGACGAGGTGAAGCCGAAGGTTGAACCGACCAACCATGACGGTCTCGTGAATGGTGCGTCGGCTAGCATTAGCAACGCGGGGC